TTAACGCATGGTTAGAAGCAGGAGCTGTTTGCGCTTTAAGTTATCACACCTGTATAAAAGTAACCGTCCAGTCTGTCTATATTTAGAGGGTTACATCCACTACATCCCACCATTATCCGAACTGGCCCGGACTTCCTCTCCCTTAAGAAGTCTAGCAGTCATAGATAACGGGCCCCAATATTCTAAAGTGTTATGTTGACGCAATCTTTTCTTGCTTGAATGTAGAGTGCATTGCCATATTCATTTTACTTACCGAGCAGAAACCTAGAAGCTGCGTGGCATTCCGTAAGGAAGCCAGCGGCTTAGCTAAATCGTAAGCCTTCTAAGAGATATTGTGGGCCCGCTCGAGCTGTCTGTAGGCACACCAGCTCGCAAAGCAACCAAAGACAATGGTAACGATAAGTATCCCAAACACCGCAATCCAGATAGTTATCCAATGGTTGAAGTTTCGTGTGTCAAACAAACAATGCTTGAAGTGGAGTCTCAGGTGGCCCGTAGAATAAACCTGACAACTGGTTCATCCGACGATCTTAGTACTCAAAATTGGGCCGGCTCGCGTCGAGCTTGAAAAGCTCTGTGGGAATAGCGAAATATATATCGACCTTTTAATCCTTTAGAAAATCATGTATTAATTGATTTCCGAAGGGAAAAAAGAAATCCAGACTGTGTATGGCTTCATCCAATACAGCTCCCGCAATCGGACAGTCCTATAAGGTACGTCGACGATTGATAAGAAATATTTTATATCGGTAAACTAACAGAAGCCTCTTTCCGTCTTTCCGGGTAGGCCATCAAGTTTCAAGTTTTCCGGAAGAATGTCAGTCTAGCGTATAGTGACGTCTCTCTTTCTTCTAAGGTTAATAGCAGTAAGGAAGAAATCAAGGTGGTAATTATCGTTAAAGCCTAACGTTCCAACCCCAAAAACTAGGAATCTACTAGATCGCTAAACTTTACGATAGAATCCCAGCGAACTGGATGCCGTTGTGCGTGAGTCGGACCAAGTGCTAAGTCTGGAGAACGAACATCCACCCCTATCCATAGCCTAAGACAGAGCTCAATGGAGCGATAGATTTTCGAATCTTCTATGTTAGTGGAAATTAGCCTCAAATGATCTCTAAGCTACTCTTTCGTCCAACCCTTGCTCGATCTCAGTTTGCTGATGATATAGAAGAGTCCAGCGAAGCTATAACTAGTAAAATATGATTAATGCACAGCGCGATTCTATAAAGTATTTTAGATAAACACAAATAATGCTCGGTACTCTTCGCCAATCAACACGTCACTATTCAATAACAGACCAGGCCAGAAATTCTGGACTAATTCGAGTTTATATTGGTCATCTAAACAGATTTGTGAAAGGATATCTCGACTAGTAGCATAATGTCGTATAAGCCTCCAGGACAAAAGATTAAGGGCGCTTACAGGAGAAAGCTCAAAAAGAGAGAAAGAAGATAATCAGCAGCTAATTACTTTTATTTCAGGGCTGTAAGGATCAAATGGCCATACGTGGAATTTTGTAGTGCATTTTCAACGCCAATCTCGGGCTTTCATGTGAACCATTGGCATTCGGGCTATCATTGCGCGATTTATGCGATCATGCTGTGAGGTGGCGCCCAAGTCTTCTCATTCGGCAAGCTTCATCGGTAGGGTTTTTGAGGACTATGACTGCATTACTGCAGGGTTAGGGCTTAGGAATAATCCGCAAATTCAAGGTATACGAATGGACCTGTAGTATCACGTAACGTGTTCGATGGCGCATTGCGTTTGACGAGGTTTGGCGTTTACCAACGAGCCTGCCTGCTTGGAATTCGTTTTGTTGACAGCCGAAGAAAATCCACGACTGCGGTCGTGGAATATTGTTGGTAGACGCAAAACCCTGTCAAACGCAAAACCCCGTCGAGTATGTTAACTTCGATAGACCTACGAACGCTATGTTAATATAAACCTAGTGAGAAGCCCTATTCTTGCAATTGAAGGTAGAATATGCTTCGTGCTACAGTGGAGAGTTACGCGCCGGAAACTAGGTAAGAAACTACAGAGTGACCTCCATTCACAAATCCGTGTGACTGAAGTTTTATGACTCTCCGGCTGCGTCCGATCGAGGAGATATCGTTGCAGCCTGCCGTCGCGCAACCAACCTCTCCACAATCGTTCCGCGCATCGACGCCGGAGGCAGCGCAACAGACTGTGTTCCGAAATGTCATGGTTACTTCCAATTTCGTCCTAAAAGATCTGTTTAGCGCGAGGTCACGTCACATAGCACGAGTAGATATATATAAAAAAATGCAACCACCCAGGCGAATCTGCTCTTTGGCAATTTATTGTAGTCGTCTAATGTGTTCAGTGCTATTCCTTGATCCTACAAAATTGGTCATATTCAGTTAGCGGAGGCGCTGTGTCTCGGCTACATGATACAAATACAGAGTTAACTTTAGCTTAGCAACACAAATGAGACAGCATTATTGAAACCTCTTCAACAAAGTTGAAAAGCCATTTTTCGCTTTAAGGGGTATGTTTAACCTTCAACAAGCCTTCTGTTACTGTCCTTATTCCCTAGGCAGTATCGTTTCTCTCGTAGATGAAGGCTATAAAAACACGATGTTTATTCCTCCCTCGCTAAGACGTAATTTCGGGGCGGTATAGTAATACAGTCTTAGTATACGTTGGCAAAAGTTTTCGCTTGTCATGATGAAAGCGTTGCTACTTTAGATGTATAAAAGGAATGTCACTTGAAAGTAAAAAGAATCGGATTGAGGTTAAAATAGCTACCTAAGTTTTAATAGCGACATCGTGCGAGTATTCAGTAAGGCGTACAAAAGGAAGTCGGTAGAGTGAGAGTCTCATACGAAAATAGTCATGGCGGAATGGAAGTTGCAATAAGTTATACGATACACTGTAGTCTCTCTTCGCCTAGGGAAAGCTCGCACACAAAAAGAAGGATCGATGCTCGTGATTTCGATATACGCACTCTGCTCATGATCTTCAATCTTTGTCCACTACTGAATTAGGGTTTGAAGTTTCTTCAAAGCCTGCCGTCGTTGTTCATCGACCGGTGCCCCCAGAATGAGAACGATTAACGTGATGGGTATTGCAACCACAAAATAGACCCAAAAGTTGGACTTTCCCGCCCCAAATTTCCCTTCCATGCTGAAAAGACCGCTGATAAAGGTGAGAGGAAGGAAAACCAAAGCAAGGTATGTTAAGCGACTGATATAGGACGCTTCAAGAAGAGATCTTCTGCTATCGACAATCTGAACCATGGAAGTCGTAACGGGGAGAGTAACCTCGAGCTTGTGTGCACATGCTTCTATATTCGCTGCAAGAGACTGGTAGTCTTCCCAAAGGTCGGTACGTGTTTTCAGCTCCGCCTTTTCAGAGCCGATGGGGTCGAGAAAACGCACGACAGATGCGATCTTCTGCTGGGTGGACATCGTTCTTCTCAGCCAGCCCTGCAAGGATCGCAGATCGCTATTCAGACGATTTAGGTATGGCTCTGTCTGATCGGACCCTTCCATCTTGTAATCATATTTCTTCGTGCTTCGACTCATTACGGCCACATAATTAGTCCATTCGCCGAAGATGATCCGGAGTGGATAATAAGATAGTGCGAATAGCGAAGGACCAGTTTTGTTGAAGCCGTTTGGCGTGGCATAACTCCAGTAGTGCACCAAGTCGAATAGAAGCCTATCCCTAGATGGACCTCGGGCAGTTGAATTCTTTACAGAAGGCGGGTCAAGAAAATCCTCATAGCCACCCAAGTAGAACTGAAGAACATACGGATACCCCTCCCTTCTTGGTATTTCAATACTTTTGTCAACAAGGATGAGACCTGACATTTAATTAGTATGACATGACCGGCAGCTGTGGCCGATGACTTACATATCCACGTCATATTCTCCAATGTCTTTTGGAGAATCGAGCAACATTGTGGCGCCAGCCCCAACCGTCGATTTTCTTTCTCTCGAAGGAATGCAACCTTGCGAGGAACATTGGACTTTCGCAGGGGCTGCCTCTCCGGAGGATCTTCGTTCTGCATTGTGACGGTTCTGTGATAATGAATGTTGATGAACCTGGAAGCCTTTGCCCGGGATGGCGGTAGGGCGACATCTGGGGTTTGGAACTCTTCCTCTTGCCATGGAGAAGGCGCGCGGATGTGGGAGGCAAAGAAGGTTGGGTCGATATCAAGTGCGTATCCAAGAACATCGATCAAGTCACGAGTCAGATCTTCGATGATAACAATACGACCACGGAACCCGAATTTTTCTTCTTTGTCGCTGTTAAGCGTGGACTTGAGTTCTTGGAGGGTGAGATCATATTGTCGGTGGTCCTGTTGATGCTCAAAAAATTCAAGCGATTTGATTGTGATGGGGTCTTCTGGGTCATTCTTTTCAAGAAAATGCAAGAGTTTGGTGATGCAAGGATTTCGAGCTTGTTGCGCCCGGACATATGCGAGATATTCGCCCATTTAGCGGGGTAGGCACAAACAACCGTGCAACGAGACGCAAGGCTGGGATTAAGCCAAAAGACTGGAACAAGCACTAGAGCGTGAACTATGGAGCACAGTCAACTTTTTAACTCAAGACGGGCTTTGGAGTAGCCTTGCGAGTGCAAGGCTTCTGAGCGCGAGGCTTCTGAGCGCGAGGCTACCTATGTGACATATGAATCCGGTTTCGGGTGTAGGGCGGAAGCGGGGCCCGCGCGCGACTCTAATAGGTCGATCGGCACCTGTCGAGAGGCCACCCTGGCACACAGCCCCCATGTGTGAGTGTGGCGTCGCGGAACCTTGCATGAGTCACGAGATTTCTGAACCGGTCAAAGCCGTAGAGGCCGGAGTACTCTAGGCAGCATCAACCCTCAATGCACACCGGAATCCACCGGTCAACTGGGTAAAAAGACTGCATCTCAACAGACATATCATGGTCGATGCACACGGGGGTATCGATCCCCTGCCTGATGCGCTCTTCACACCGCCCAACCCCGCCTTGTCACCCGCAGAAAGAATGGATGGTTGCACAAACCACAACGCACCGGCATGTAATGTCATCGACACCTTCGTGGACCAATGGATCACGACCAAGCAGCGGATCTACAAAGACATGGCAGACAGAGTTCGGACGCAATGTCATTCTTTCGCTCGCGACCAGGGAATTCTGGCTCAAGTCAGCAGCAGAGTCAAGCAACCAGAACATCTTCGACAGAAACTCTTAGCCAGGGAGGTCAAATTTAAGGACGGGTACAAGGACGCAGAACATATCGAAGCTGATATCCGAGACCTTGCCGGAGTACGAATCGTACTCTACCTCCCCAACGACAAACCGAGGTTGAACAACTACATCTATGCGAACTACGAAGTCAAGCACGAAATTCAACATCCCAAAAATGAGGCCGACAAGATCAATTGGGGTTATCGGGGTATCCACTACGTTGTCTCACTCAAAAAGGACGTCAAAGTGTTGGAGAAGCAGGTCAATGTCGAACTGCAAGTGGTTACTATGATGCAACATACGTGGGCTGAAGTAGAGCATTACTTCTATTACAAGTCTGCCGGTCATGGGAAAGTTTCCAAAGAAGAGAGGGACACTTTGAAATTGCTGGAACAAGTAGTAGGCCTCGGCGATGAATACCTGGAGCGATTATACAACCTTAGATATCCATCACTGGACCAGGTCAAACAAGAGGTTGTCAAGCATCACAGAGGTTCATCCTCCCCGTCGAGCTTAACCCCAGAACTCCCCGCAGCGGATGGAGATACGAACAACATTCCTTTCCCAACTACGCAGAAACTCCGAGCCTTTCTTTTCAAAAGCTTGGGCGAAATGACAGATTTGGAAGTCATAAACTTGGGTCCCGTTGAGGTGTTGTTGAAAGTTCTTCACAGACTCGACAAGAGCACCCCGAGAATACTTGCCACATTGCTTATTCAGGCGGGATTTGGAACTACTCCTAGCCCCACCTTCTCAAGAGTTTGGGGTGAAGCGTACCCTGTGGAGGAACGAGTCTCTATCTTGTTGATGAGGCACATACTGTCAAGCACCAATGCTGACTCGGACCACCAATACAGCCCCGTGTGCTGTCTTGAAAGATGTCACATCTTGATGAGTACAGTGATCTGGTTGAAGGAGCTTTTCCCATGGCTTGATGTATATCAGTGTCTTCCTGCCGATCAGGAAAAACGTTCTTCTTTGAAGAAGAGGCTTGATTGGCTTCTATATCATGAACGTCCACGACAACTGATGAGAAGGGAGGCCAGGCCATCGAGGGTCGACAAGAAGAAATTGGCGGGTCTCTGGGATTGGGTCGGTCAACAGAGTCTAGAATGTGTGCAATTAGCATTTAACGTCTCAAAGATTGGTGTTTGGAAGGAACTCCCTAGCAATCTCATTCTTTCGGATCAGTCACATCACGTTCGCATCGGGCATAGACTAGAGACTCAAGATAGTGTACGACTATCCCAACTGAAACCAAAAAGGGCATCTTGGGAAGATTCTTTGGAGGGATTATACTTCTTGTAGCTATTTTCCGTTCCTTATTGCATTACCAGATTGGTGGCTCTCGCGACAATAAAGTTTCCTACGTACCAAAGAACGGTGGGCAGGTACCATTTAATGGTTTCATGAGTCACACGTCTTTTGTTTAATGACTTACGATCCTCAAGAGGAACGGCTATGATCAGATGCGCCACTGCTTAGAGGGCATGCTTTGAACCATGGCTGAGTTGTCTTTTCGTTTAACCGGTGGACCGTGGATGTTGAGCATTAAGATAACTTACATGCTGGAGTATTTAGAGGAATGGAGAGAAGTTGTCTAATATTGAACGTTTCCGAGCGAGATTTGAACATTTCTACCACGCACCACGGGCCCCGACCATGAATTTCTCCAGAGGACGGCGATCACAATGGTCGAGCTTTGAGCATAGACAACCTTTGTCACAGTCGAAACGGAAAAGACCGGCCTGGCTCACCTATCAGAAGCAGGGCCACGCCAGGTCGAACCCTCGGATTCGACATCCCGTCGTGCGAGGACGTCAAGATGTTCTGATTTTTCCCGAACGAGAGACTTTAAGTGATCGCCCATGTTCCCAGGACTACCTCTAAGGCGAATGAACAGCGCAAGGTTGCGAGATAGTTATTCAATACAACGACACACGTGATAGCACTGTCCGAGATCAAAATGTTGGGAAATACGAAACTGCTTTTCATTGTGCAGAGACTCAGATCTCAGATCCTTACCTAAGCCTTCAAAATAGAGGTTTCCGGGTCCTGAAGATGAAAAAGAGTCTGGTTTCCAGGGATTCAGGCTGAGGAAGAAGCTAGCCAAGCGCTTAACCTCGTTCCCCAGCTTTCGGACCACAATGTGATCATGAGATGTGCGAAGACCCTTCGAGGAGACAGAAGCACCGTGTAGAGCCAATTAGACCAGTACGAGAAAGCCATTGTGGTTCGGGCGATGAGAGGCGTTGTTTGCAGTACGTGACTGCACAAGATAGTAAAACAAGTTTGGATCTACAATAGAAACAATGATAAGGGCGAACTCAATAGAACGTCAGCTAGCGGTAAGGACAACGTTGACCAAGAAACAAAACTTTGTTTTTCAGAGGTACCGTAGAATACATCACAGTATTACACATTTCCGTCCCTTTAAAAAAGTTAGTGATGGTTAAACATGATATTAAGGGAAATTAGTAGCAAACGCAGAGCCACTATTTGCCGGGATGAACTTACTTTGGAGGTTACAAGCTTTTTCTTCTGTTGTTGGAATTTTTCTAGCTCCAAATCCAAGCACTCCTTTTCCTTATTCAACTCTGTGATCTTTTGATCTTTGCCTTTTTGTTCTCGCTGCAATCGGTCTTGCTCCTCTTCCAACCACTTGCATCTCTCTTCGAGGTCGCTGAGTATGCGATTTCCAGCAGACGTTTCTGCCAAAGAAACATCATTACTTTCAAGCTCCTTCTGTATCAATAGCGGTACAGGCTTGGACTCCCCCCCACATAGCATTGAAACAATTCGGTGTGCTGAAGTTCCGTTATTGTCATGGCGCACCACGTTTGCGCCTCCCGCGACCATTTCTCCCCAACACTCTGGCGAACTCATACGCTCCTGCACTCTCACGGATCCGCTCTCGTAGGAACTGATCTCATCCCACATGGTCGTCGCAATGACGGCTCTCGACCATGCATCAGCGCCGCAGATATCCTCGAAAAGGCGCAAGCGCGACCACTCGCTTCCGTAGATACGATTAGCAGAGACGGGATGCAGAAGGATGACGCCGGTTATCAGGACGCCTTCTAGGTAGTTCGCGAACAGCCATTGCGCCAGGAGCCCTAGGATGTCTGCGTCGCTTTGATAGGTGTCGTCAAATCCCGGCGTGTCGATCAGCTGGACTAGTTCTCCATCTAGGTACATTTCGTAGGGCTTGATGTCCTTCGTACCTACCACGAGAGGTTAAGGTTATACCTTTTCACGGAACAGGCTGGCTTACATGACGCGAGAGAGTGCCCGATTTCGAGGTCGTCTCTTCCAGTGGCTTGAGAGATGAAGGTCGTCTTGCCCGCTCCAGTGACTCCCAGAACAGCAATACGGTGCCTGGAGGCCTCATGAGGCTTTGTAGTCATTCTTCCTTTGCTCATCAAATGATCTCGGTGAGCGTAAGAGTAGTGTGGCAAGGAACACCGATAATGCGCAATGGCAGGTAGAACGAATCTCTGAAGAGCTGAGTTCTCTGAGATTATGTAGTGTATTTATAGCTATCTACTAGTCTATGTTACGATGGTTTGTTGGGAAATCAGGGTCCTCGCCGACCTGGATTGGGTGATGTTGAGGGGTTATTGGCTGAACCGAAATAGATGAGTATTGAGAATCTTGGATCACATACGCAAGTTCTTGTGATGAACAGGCCTTTCTAGAGAATCTCAGACCAGTATTCCCACGGGGGAAAAGTCGCGCAGGGGGCGATTAATGGGGTGTAATTGACTCTATCCCTCGCTTGAACCTCTTCAATGGAATGCCCAGTTCCCCTCATAAGTATACTGTACCCTCTTCGCTCTCATTCTACTGAAACAGTAAGCCACATAGGATCTGTGATGCAAGTCGATTGCGTACAATTTCTCATGCATGAGAGTGGTAGAGTCTCAAACTCCACCAGAAGCACATCTCATGAATCCCTCACAGACCTGCTACCCTACAAGACCTCTGTGGCCGTGAAAATTTCCTTCGCATCATTCTTGCCACTAGCATGTGGAATGATGTTTCTCAGCAAGACTTCTGTGACGCTTGTGCCACAGAACAGCAACTTTAGGACCTCTTTGGAGACCAATGATTGGCGGAGGAGGGGTGCAGTGCTTGCCGTTTCATAGGACTCAATATTCAAGGCAGCTGCTCATCGACCCACTCATATCAATCCCACACCCCTCTCGTCTTGGCGTGCAAAAGGAACTGCATGCCATGATTCTACAAGAAACAGGAGTTGGACGTCTCATCACGTCTGAACTCCGGGCCCTTGAAAATCGACACCAGCAGGAAGTATAAGAAGATGAGGATTATCAAGAAGGTCAGAGGCAAGCTTCCATATACGATCGCGGAGCTATGGCGAGGCAGAGTTCAGTCGTACGGTATCGAGCTCGTCAACTTCTCAACATCATGGCACGGTGAGTCGAGCGCGTTAAAAGACATACTAGAGTCTTTGTCCCGTAAAGATCTGCAAACTAGCTATTGACAAAAATTCAATTGGCATTATCTAACGTCCCGATACCACCCTTTACGTTTTACTTGGTCAATGATGGTACCCTAATTGCATGATGTTTATAGAAGGGGCAATTACCGAATCCACCTCTTTTTATAGAACCACTTCGGCTATTTCAAACACCACTTAGATGATTGATGCTTTGTTTAGCAGCATGTAGCCATCATTTTTAGTGCCCGCAAATCCATATGTTTAGGGGTTTTATTCGTCAGGTATGAGCGTCGGCCGGTGATGGTAGTCTTCAATGTCATAGTCGAGAATACCGTTCTGCCTTGTTGTAAGGGTTAACAGACTCTTTACATGCTGAAAGTGTACTTTAGCGTTGATTATTATAAGCGCCCGCAATACAAATTTTGTTTAGTTCTACCGCCACTAGCCAATGGCATCAGGCAGCCCCCCACACAACCCCACACACACCATGATCCATGTCAGTCTTGGCACGACTATAAAGAACGCGTGTGCTCGGATTAGCATCGTTACCATTCCCACATGGCAAGGTTGCTACTCACAACTCATTCATCACTTGATTCGGTGGATGGGCATTCAATTCACTTCTCGAATTCAGGATCACTACGATGGCTTCGACAACGAATAGGCCTGGCAACACATGGCTGGAACAACTACCCTTTCCGGATTACTACCTTTACTCGCCCCTCCCAACCAACTCATTCCGGCTACTCGAACTCTATCCTGGTGATGGTTCTGATGTTATACGTGGGCGCCTCGTGGATGCCAGTCTTGACACGAATCCTCAATACGAAGCAATTTCGTATCACTGGGGGAACTACGAAAGACGAAGCATTGAGCTGGATGGCTTCATGCTACATACTACGCGGAGTACGGAGTCTGCGCTGCAGCAAGTAAGGAGGCGAGACGAAGTCCGGCGTATCTGGATCGATGCAGTGTGCATCAACCAAGACGACCTGTCGGAGCGTGCCCGCCAAGTCAGACTTATGGGAAAGGTTTTCTCAAATGCAGATCAGGTGTTGATTTGTATCAGAGATCCCGCAACAATCCAGCTCCGAACATCACTGGAAAATATCCACGCTGCTTTCGAACCCGTGGATCGCATCCCCGGCTACCCGACACCATCACGCAATTTTTTCGCCAAGGTCCAAGCGGATCTCCCCAGAGATATGCTTGGCGCTGGGTTCCTCGAACTGAGACTGTTCGTGAAGAACCCGTGGTTCTCTCGAGTTTGGGTTTTGCAGGAGGTCGGGCTTTCCTGGCGTGCATGTTTATTCTGTAATGATTGGAGCATATCATTTCAGAAAGTCGTATTTGCAGTCTCGTTTCTCACTACTCAGAGAATTCGGGCAAAAAATGACTATAACCTGCAAAGGAGAAGAATCTATCCTTTAATGAAGGAGTTCTGGAGACTTGAAGAGCCACAAGACTTTTGGGAAGTGTTGCATCATACCCGCAGTCACAAAGCTTCGGATCTTCGGGACAAAGTATTCGCGCTATTGGGCCATCCATCGGCATTAAACCCCAATGGCTTGGATATGCTAGTACGGCCTGATTATCGAAAGTCAGTCAAGCAAGTATATTACGAGGTTGCATGCTCATTGATGAAGGGTCCGCGTCCTTTACGAGTGCTGTCTTCCGTTTTCTATCCCAAGACGTGTTCAGTCAGCGACTTGTCTTGGATTCCACAATGGCATAGACTACACTCGGATATTTTCGGCTTTGACCCACGTTTCGACTGCTCCATGGCCACCTCAGCAGGCTTCGAAGTTCAAGACGACCAGAAGATGTTGAAGGTGCGAGGGGTATTCTTCGACAGAATCACATATGTTTCGAAATCCACGAAGCCACGTTGTATCACGAGAGCCCATGGCTCGAATAATCCTATTATAGAAATATGGGCCGAGCTACAAGCGCTGGAGCAAGGTCTTTATCCTATGTCCGAGTCGGCTTTGGAATCTTACCTTCAAACGTTGACGGCAAACAACTTTTGGTGGCATTGTTCAGGAAAGTTGAGTTCGCTTGTGCCGAGTGGCGATATAGAAGAATCCTTTCATCAAGTTTTGGAAAGCTTTCAAAAGATAGGGTTAGAGCCTTCTTTGGAAACAGCGATGAGAAACCCTGCCGATGACCTTTCAGTCAAGGATAAAGCTGTTCTATACTTTGTAGAACAAGTTCGGCAAGCGGTAGTACGGAGGCGTTTCGCTAGATCTTACAGGCGATTTTATGGGCTTGTACCGGACGCAGCAAAGGAGAACGATGTAATCTGTATTCTGTTTGGGTCGAATGTTCCATTCATTCTGAGATCGGATGGTGCATCGGAGACCTGGAGACTCGTGGGCGAGTGTTACCTGCACGGCATCATGTACGGCGAAGGCATCAAGATGTTGAGGGAAGGCTTACTCGAGGAGCAGATTTTTCATATTCTAGGCTGATAGGAGCCTTTGTGTGAAGTAGTGAATCTTCGTTTATTTCAGCTCTTTTAGGTGTCTTGGGTTAATTGGAATGTTGAAAACTGAAATAAATTGTCTATATTTGTACCACGTAGTCTGGGAGAACACTCAGAAATAACGCATTCACGAACAAAAAAAAAACGCTAAACAAAATCAAAGGTTCGCATCTCTGTAGGAGTACTGTGGGCCTAGTTCTTCCCTGCCGAACTGCTCAACAAGCTCTTCCTCCCAAACATCACATTCCGCACGCCGAATATGTGTGTTCCTGTAGTTAGCTCCCCTCTCCAAGTGCCGATCGAGCGACTCGAGTTTGTAGTGCGAGAAGTCGTGTGGGCGTACGGTAATCAGCATTTTGAACTTCTCCCTTATACGGCGTACGCCACGCGCCTCGAGCTCCTCCGGTATGTACACCATCATGCTGATCGGCTCGATCTCGCTGTTAGCCTCGACACAGTAGCCTGCCTCGCCCGGGCCGGGTACGATTTGCTCGATGCCCCAGTCCGGGGTGAGCTCGAAGATGGTGATGTAGACTTTGTACGGAGCTCGGTTTATGTATCGTAGTGTGTACGTAGTTTCATTGGACTCGTGCTGGCGTTCAATAGTGAACCGATGCGTGGGAGTGAGCTGGAGCGCCGGGCGAGGCAGTTTGTCAAACGAGAGATATCTTTGCAGATGGATGAGGATCTGGCACAGCATCTTCGTCATGTGTCTGGAGTCGACAGAGACCGGCGGAATGTTCGGAATGATGAAGTTGTTCGCGTTGTAGATCTCGAAAACGGAGATTGAGTTGAGACGGATGTTGAAGTTTGCGTTGGTTGGAGTGTCGCCGAAGTGGAATTCCCAAGGCTGCGAGTTGTCGAAACACTGCCTCCACTCATTCTGAAGCCGTTCCAAAGCATCTTGGCCGCCGTATTGAAGCTCGTTTTCGGGATTGTGCACCATAACTCGAGTGACTTGCGTCCGTCCTGCAAACCGAGCAATCCAACCGATGCGTGCTGCACGAATGGAGCCAGAAACAGTCTTTCCTGCATAAGCGCGCAGCGGCTCGACCTTGGTGATTTGCACTACAATCCCTGTGTCTCTCCCACTATTGTTCAGAATTTGATAATGATCTCCAAGAACAATTCCGTCGAGCTCTCCACGGTCAAGCGTCAGCACGCCACGATTTGCCAGCTGCACATGCGCCAACGCCTCACTACTCTCGCTAATTGAGGTAGAGGTAAGACCAAATATTGACTTGCTGTCATCTCCAAACAGGATTGGGAACTGGTCATTCGTCTCCGATTGGCAGGTGCGTCTTACAGCTGCCAAGAGCCTTCGATAAGCCGTGGTCGCCAGATCAGTAGGCTCCAGTCCCTTCAAGAAGTGCAGAAGAGAATAAGTCAGCAAACCAGAGATACCTTCCTCGATTGGGAATTCCTGAGCCAACTCATGCGGCTGGCAAGCAGCTAGAAGATTGTACTTCCTGCCCTTCCAAAACCAGTGTTCGCTCTTCAGCGGCGGCAGTGTGCTCGCGGTGGAAGTGAATAGCTCCTTTCCGATCCATTCAACGGGCTCCAAGTCCCCTGGTTGGAATTCGTAGGGTACCTGTCTGGCGCTCCAACCATCGGGCTTTGTACCCCTTGTGGCGCCGCCCGAATGACAACAATCCAGGACAACCAGCACGGTCACACCCTTGTCTGCCAGCCTATCAAGTAGGACGCCGAGCTCGATGTCCCGAATGATGGTGCCATCCGGGAAGAGGAGCGATTCGTCCTTGTCGGTGGTTTTTTTGTACACGGTTGGAGCCTGGATCCCATGCCCGGAAAAATGTATGTACACGAAATCGTTGGCTCGACTTTTTTCAGTAATATCCTGGATCGACTGCAAGACTGTCGCTCTTGTTGGAAGTGTGTAAGGAGGTAAGGAAGTCTCAGTAGATATCGGGCTCAGGAGGGTACAAATGTTTGCGGCGGGAACATTCAGAGCCGTCTGGAGAACATGCTGAACATTGATCGCATCTGGGACGCACCCGTGGAGATTCTTGCTATTTTCGTACTTATCTATCCCGATGACCAGCGCTCTTCTTTGGTTAATCGATGTGGTGTCCAATTTGCCGGAGACCGGTCGGTCGGTCTCCATTTTCAGGGTGCTGAATCGATGAGTATGCTCTCACTTTGCAGCTTAATTTGAGTTCGGAAATAAAGCAAAATAAAGCTATCCGAGGAACGGACACAAAGTAGTTTGATAGGTGTGGCGTGAACTGGGATCTCTCGAAGAGGGAAGCTATTGCAGGACGTTGACAAACAAGGCGAATGTCGCCGCGGGACGACACTCTGCCTGCACAGCAGGTTTCGTGCTTATCGAGAATCCTGCCCGCACCGAAATCAAGTTTGTCAAAAAAGATCCGCTATTCCCGCAATCCCGTCGTTGTCTCCACACTGCTCTGTTGGTCTGAGCGACACGTGGCGTGGCTGCGGGGAAATTCAGCTCCGTACACTGATAGGACCGAATCCACCAGTATGATCAAGCCAACAAGGACTTCCGACCGTGCCGGTACAGTTTGGTTATCATTCAATGTGGGTCTTTCACATGCTGTCGGAATCACGGTACGTGTTTCCGACCCCTGACGTCAGGCAGGGTGAGTGGACGGTATTCCTTCTTCTGTCTAAACTTCTCTCTGATATTTTGGGCTGTTTCAAATTTGGTTTTACTATGCTTTGAAGAAAAATTCCCCTGCGGACTTGATCTACTGTCTCGACTACGCCTAAACGCATCTCCTTCTTTCTCTCGTCCCTATTATTGAGTGCAGACGATCTGGCCTCGCATCTCTGGCACTCTGCTGGTTGTAATAGATTCAGTCTTTTGGCCACTCCTACTGTGCGAGCCCCATCGAGGCCTTTGATTGAATCACAAGCGAGAGAACAGCCTCCCTGGATCATGGCGACCGGTGACACTATCGCGGAAAACACACAAGGCGGGCCAGACAGTGACCAAAACGCTGAAGATATTGAACAAGAAATCTTCATAGCCAAACAGATCCTCGCCAACGAACCCATGGAGGACGATGATCGAGCGATGATTCTGAAACATCTAGCCGGATTTTTCGTGCAACTCTACGCGATGAACGGCGAGCTTGCCGATCTTGACGCAGCAGTCTCAGCCGCGGGAGAGGCGGTCCGTACTGCTCCGGAAAGCCATCCGTACAGGGTCGCCTGTTTGGATACTTTCAGAGCGGTGCTACTGGAGAGATGCTCTTTCCTGGACAATCCAAACCAGAGTATAGTGTTTCTGACGTCGGCTTTGGAAGTTACAAGGAGCCACGACAGTCTACGAGGAGAAATCCTCAATGATCTTGGGATGTCACTGCGTGACAAGTACCAGCAAACCTCAGACGCAGGGGACCTGGATGCAGCGATAACGATCTTAAGGGATGCCATCTCGGAGGCTCCGAACAATGCCAGGTTCCTCTGCAATGTCGGGTCCGTTCTGGGTGAACGGCATGAACGCGCGGGAAGCGTGGAAGATCTCCACGAGGCCATATTCTTCACACAGCGAGCTTTACAAGCAACATCGCCAGACAACGACGATCGCCATCAGATTCTCAATAATCTCGCAACGAAACTAGTACGGCGATACAGGCTGACAAGTAGCAAAGATGACCTCGAATCGGCCATTGCATTGCTGTCCGAAGCCACTGCAATGCCAGCCCAAGATGCCGATAATCAGCCGAACTTGCTGAGCAACCTTCAAGTAGCTCTTTCTGAGAACTTCCAGCACACGGGGAGAATAGAGGACCTAGATGAAGCAGTTTACAAAGCGAGGCAAGCATTCCAGTCCGGCGAATGCTCCAATCTTCTCGGACGCTGCGCCAATCTGGCCACAATGCTTACTGATCGATACGAGAGAACGGGGGAACTCTGCGACTTGGACGAGGCCATCTTTTACGGCAGTAAGGCAGTCGAGGCTGCAAACCATGCAGAGTCTAGCCGCGCAGCGTTCCTAAGCAGCCTCGCCGGGAGCCTTTTCTTGCGTTTTCAACGCACGGGCAACATTGATGATCTTGAGTCAGCCATTGCAAGATCGGAAGAAGCATTGGACTCTTCGCATGCCTGTCATGAATACACAGTTCGCGCTGCTCTACTCAGTAACCTTGCAGCCATGCTCTCATGCCGGTACCAATGGACAGGAGACATGGAAGATCTGGTCAGGTCCATCGGCAAGATAAGAGAGGCCATTGATGTTGTCCCTGAACACTACTTTGACCGGCCAGGGATGCTGAATAATCTTGGAAACCGTCTGGGGGAGCGCTTCAGCCGTGCTGGAGACCGAGAGGATCTCGATGGAGCCGTTTCGAGTATACAGATGGCAGTTGATACCACCATCCACGGACCTTCAAAAGCCTGTTATCTCACGAATCTCGCAAACAGGCTCGCAGTAAGACATCATCTGGCTAGGAATCGATCAGATCTCGAGAGAGCAGTGTCATTGGGGGAGGAGGCACTCCAAATCTTGCCACTAGACCACCCGATTCGCGCACGGCTTATCAACAATCTCGGCAACCATCTAGCGCAGCTCTACGACGAAAGCAACTTCACAGCCCATCTTAATAAGGCCATTATCTGTGCTAAGGAAGCGGTTGATAGCCTTCCTCCTGAGCATCCAGACCGAACGAGGATGCTAAACAACCTCGGAAACCGGCTCTTGCATCGGCATCGAGAGACAGGAGATGACGGTGATCAGGACTCGGCTCTACAGTGCTTTCTGGAAGCTGGAAAAATCACGAGCTCGATCCCCCTGCGCCGTGTATACAGTTTCCGCGAAGCGATTCGCATTCTCCACAAGCAACGCAACTGGGAGGAAGCAAGTCAATGCGCAAACGCTGCTGTCGAGCTTCTCCCGCACATATGCAGCCGCCATTTGAGCTTGACGGACCAGCAATATGCTCTGGAGCAGACATCAGGTCTTGCAGCCGACGCCTGTGCCATTGCCCTTCAGCTCGGGGATGTTGGCAGCGCTCTGCAGCATGTGGAGTACGGCCGTGGCATATTGCTCGGAAATCTTGTCGACAGCCGGAGCGACTTATCGGAGTTGCGCCGCTGCCATCCTGGGCTGGCGGACGAGTACGAGGCGGCTCGTTTCCACGCCTTCCGAAACATCGAGGAGCAGAATGACGCCATCCGAGAGCGGATGTGGAGAGAACGGAAAGAAGCGGCCCAACGCTTGCGGGACTGCGAGGCTCGAATACGTAAGGAGGAAAACTTTGAAAATTTCCTCAAGCCCCTTGCTCTGGAGGACTTGGTCAACTGTGGTCAGGAAGGGCCAGTCGTCGTGGTGAATGTTACAGATATCGGTTCTGATGCCATAATTATTTCACCCTCCGGAATAAGCCAATTACCGCTGCCGAAGATGGCTTCTCGGGTCCCTTCTTCCATTCGCGCAAAGCTTGGGCGGTACAGAAGCTTGGGCGAGACAGATCAGGGCCGAAATGTTCGTGTGAAGCGAAAGGCAGATATAGAGATGTTTCCTTGGCTGTGGGAAACCTGCGTTGAGCCTATCCTGGACCATCTGGGATATCTGTCTTCGAAAGAGTTCAATGATCAGATGCCCAGAGTCTGGTGGATTGGAACTGGAGTTGCTGCTGGCTTCCCCTTCCATGCTGCAGGACTTTCCAACAATGATTCCCTTACGAACTGCATGGACCACGTCATTTCTTCCTATACTCCCACGATCAAAGCCCTAAATCACGCCCGGGCACGAGAGCACCAAATGGCGAAATTTGAACACCGAAAGGATTCATTGCTGGTAGTTTCCATGCCAACAACACCGGCACCCTACGATCCACTACCCGGAGTGGTACGGGAGAGAGAGACTATTCAACAAGTGGCTGAAGGAGTCTTCGAGGTCAATTCTCTCGAATACCCCACAGCAGAGCAAGTGTTGGAAGGGCTCGGGACTGCTGGCATTGTGCACTTTGCTTGCCACGGTCACGCTGATGCTTTAGACCCCTCTGGCAGCCATTTGGTTCTGCAGAAGCAGACTCCAGCAGGGCCAAAACTCGACCAGCTGACCGTATCAAGCATCTGGAATGTGATCTCGCAGTCACACGCGTGGATTGCATATCTGTCTGCCTGCTCAAGTGCAGAGACCACAGCTGAGAGGCTCTCTGACGAGAGTATTCATCTTGCAAGCGCATTCCAAGTTGCAGGCTTTTCTCACGTAATTGGGTCTTTAAAGCCGGCAAATGACGACGCTTGCGTTGAAGTTGCTCGAGGCTTCTACGAGTCCCTGTGTCTTTATGGCGCTACACGTGTCCAGAGCAGACTTGTAGCAGAGGCTGTACATGCTGCTGTGCTTGAAGTCCGGAAAGGAAACCCTCGAAGTCCACATGTCTGGGCACCTTTCATCCACCTGGGTGCCTAGTTTGAATTGCGCTACACCCTATCTGCCACTGCTAAGAAAATCTGTCGGCACCTCGGGACACAGGCCATAGAATGAATGTCACATTCTCAAGCTACCCCCTCGTCAGCTTACAACTCTGCAGAAAGAGTTGGTCACCACGCTGGCTTGCCTGGTGATCCACTACAGGATATATGACAGCATAGCGTTTTGGACAAGGTCTTCACACCAGAATCATCTCTTGCACTGGTGTTCGCGCTTGGTACGCCAACACCTCGCACCTATGGCACCTCCTCCGCCCCCCAACCACATGCCAGCAGCACTGGTGGCGCAGCATCTTTGTCTGCGCAGTCGGCTCATAGTAGCACTCTCCCACCAGCGCGAGGCCGGTCTGCTGCCTGCGTAGCACGACCGGCCGCAGGCTGCCCTCCAGCAAGACAATCAAGTCATTTGCCTGCGTCTCCCGCGGGCCCAAGCCTATAGACGCAGCTCCCCACAGGAAAGCGCGCCCACGGCCAATAGCTTCGGCCTTGCGCAGTAGGTTGCGGATCTCGCGAGTGCAGAGCTGAGCGTCCAATGCGAAGCCGTGGTAGAGCGAGCCGACGCCGCGCACCTCGGTGCCGAAGGGGTAGTGCACGAGCTGAAGGGGGACCCAGTGGGCGGTGTCAACTGCGATATTGTAGGGAACGGGATACTCGAGGCGGGCGAATGCATCCCATTTGAAGAGGCGCCATAATGTAGCAATGTCGGTGTGAGACCCGAGACGCTCGTCCTCCCAGACAGTGCTGGATGGCTTAAGGGCGTGGGTTGGCGACACTACACGCACAATATCGACCACTCGACCCTTGACGGCGAGCCTGGATAAGTCCCATTTGGTCTGCGGAGGAGGGAGGTCTGAGATGGCTGGAACGTGGTGGTTCACCCTGGGAAGGGCGCGAGTGCGGCCCAGCGGTGGTAGCCGCGGGGGCTTGCTCCAGTCAGGGACCCACGAGGGGAGGCCGTCGATGTTCGAGGGATGCTCGACAAATGATAGTATGTCGAGGGTGTTGTAGCGGCGGATAAAGTAGACCGCAATTTCTGTATACACTCTTTGTACGGGAGCCGTGTAGTCGGCTCTCAGATCATGTCTCGAGGTGATGTCGAGCATTCCGAAAAGTGCAAATATCTTGTCTCGATTGTCGGTTGAGTGGCACGATCGAGCCATGTGGAGCAGTGAGTGAAAGAGGTCAACCGGCAAAGTGCCGAACCTCGAAAGCTTCAAAACTGGGGGAATTAATCCGTCGTCCCTGTGCGGGTCGAATCCTAGGCTACTCAGCCTTTTCGAGGTCAGATACTTGTACGGGATCGTTTTCGTTCCACAAATTACGGTTACTCGTCGAGCGAGTGCCACTTCCTGCAACACCCAAACTCGTCGGAACCAAGCTCTCGAGAGCAGCTCGCGTAGTGCCATCCTTAGCGTCGAAGTAACACATCGGTTTTGGGCAGCAAATTCATCCTCTGCGCAAGTCCTCAGGAAGTCCAAGCACATATCGCTGTTATTTGTGCCTTCTCCAAGGAATACAATAACACCAGACGCGAGGCTATAGATTTGTGACATCAATGCTACTTGGGTGTTCCGTTCCTCAACGTCTTCTTGATTGATGCATACCGTATCAATCCAGATCGTTCGCGGTCGATCGAGGTACCTGATGTGGCGCAAGGCTTCCTTGCAGTTGACAGTAACTCGAATTTCCAGATCGAGACCATTACAACGGCATGTGATGGATTCAGATAAACTCATATCCCCCTGCGGAGTTGCCCAAGTGTACGATATAGCTTCGTACGTAGGGTGATCAGCAAGGCTGGCTGTAAATAGGTCGATCCGAATCTCTTCCTCTTCAACACCAGGCTCGACTTGCAGCAGCCGGATTTCGCGCCTTCCTGTTACGTTTGCGGTCTTGTATAGGAGCGAGCGGTTGTCTGTCGAAGTGTGCAGCTGAGAGGAATGATTCCAGAGTCTGATCAGCGGAGCTGGTACGTAGTTATGAAACGCCGTGAGCAGCAAATCCCTTAGCTGGACAAATATATCCATAAAGACAGCTATTGATATCAAATTTAGACAAACAATAAGATCAGTGCTCTAACTGGGGGGGGGGGGGGGGGGGGGGGGGGGGGGGGGGGGGGGGGGGGGAGGGGGGACGAGGGGGACTTACGAAGTGTGGTCGTAGTCCGCCGATTA